AATATTTCGGATAATCAACTTGACACTTGAATTATAACAATAGTTGTTCCATGCACCAGGCATGCACACTGTGTTTCCTATGGTCCAAGCTTTGTGAAATAGATCAATTGAAAACCTTTTCAATGATGCTCATTTCACAACTCCTTATTATGACATCCCCAATTTCACGACCAGAAAAGACCGGTTTTGTTTATGCTTGTTTGAAAATCAGAGTAATATTTTACATAAAAGTGTTGCGGAATTTGTTCCCAAAATAAAAATATGATAAAGATTTATTAAAGCAATTCCGTAGAAATGTATTTCATTAAAAAGACTTGGGATGTCATATTTGATACAGATCAAAAGCATAAATAGTACATTATAAGCCTTACAAAAGTTATTTACAACTACTGGCCTATAATCTAAAAATCCCTCATCATCATCCAAATTATGCTTTGGGTCCACTAACTGTAAAACAGAAAGCTAAGTGGGTCAGGCTTGGGAGCCTGGTGAGCATATAGGGTTTTCAACCCACAAATAATAATAAATTTATTAATTTCATTGATCAACAATAAATTTATTAATTTTATCAAACCAACAATAACCCTGATTACCCATTCCCGTTATCCTCACGTTACGTCCCTAAACACTTATAAAAGGGACCTAGTCTAAGTATTTTATCATCGGGATGGACTTTACTGATAAGGGGATTCCTTAGCCATATATGTCCGTAAGGCAACCATGAGGGGGATGGAGTACACCGGTGAACATCAAGCCCATAAACACCTACAGGTTGCGAGCCTGCTAGCGTTGCACTAGACTGTCTAGAAGAGTCTGTGGTCGTCATCCACACTCCGCTAGATGACTGGAACAACAACAACATCGAGGCCTCTCATCATTTTAACACACATCAACTATTTCGTCTACCCATGTTTTACCCAACATATTTTTAGATAAAATACATATACAGTTTATAACTTGTATAAAACATTGTATTCAATAGTTATCTCAAATAACCAATCAATATAATTACACATAGCACGTATTTTATAGAAAATATTTCATATCTATGTGTAAGATGAAAGTGACTATACACTCACTTGATTTGATGATAATCGGGCAGCAATTCGTTTCCTAAAATGATCGTTTCTGATAAAACCGAGAGTTTTATTGAGAAACTGGGCACTACGAGGGTTGGAGTTTCAAAATGGAAAAGATAAAATTTTATGGGTCTTCGGGCACTTCGGGACGTATTTCGAGCTTTAAAAATGTTACCGGGGCTTCGGGGGAAGTCAAAATAGTCAAAATATAAGTTTAGGGATGAAAAATGCCAATTTTCCAAAAGTACCCGGGAGATCTCGCAACACCCTATCTATAGGGTGCGAGACCGAAGATTGTTGGCTAAGAAGGCTCCACGTAGCGGCTGCAAGGCTCGGACACGAAGGGGAGACGTGGCTGCGAGGGGGCGAAGCGTGTGGCAGCAGCGAGGGCAGGTGGCGCTGCGAGGGCGAGACACAAAGGCGAGCTACGCGAGACCGAGACAGGTGGCGAACACGCATCAGATCCGGACTTGGCCACAACTCGGGGACGCAGCAACTTCGGCCACGAGGCAGATTCGCGAGAAGGGTGATGTGGTCGGCTCCTATTCATGCGAATTTTTTGAAAATTGCACCCAAATCTTCTAAAATTCATAACTTTCGCATACAAGCTCCATTTTTGACATTCTTTATATGCATGTGTAGGCGGGAATATATTCTACAACTTTCGTTTAGACTTCGTCGGCTAATTTTGACTTTAATTTTAATACTATTAATTTTAACAGACAGGGACAGAAAAATCCGTTAAAAATTCATAACTTCTTCATCTGACGTCCGTTTTCGTCAGTCTTTTTACCATTGTACTACTATTGACGAGACCTTTGATTCTCATTTAGGTTGTGTCGGCTAAATATCGCTCGATTTTAAATTCAAGTTTTTTTTGCTGTCAACTGCTAAGCTAAAACTTAGAAAAATCATAACTTCTTCATACGAAGTCAGATTTGGACGTTCTTTTTATCAAAATTCTCGGCTTAACGAATACTATGACTTTTTATTAGAATGTTAAGGCTAAAAAGCACTTTATTATAAATTTACTTTTTACGCTTCCCGGTGCCGTGCTCGTTCCGTCGCGAAACTTCGATAGGTCATAACTTCTTCGTTATAACTCGGATCTCGGCGTTCTTTATATCTCCGTAATCATTGTTTCGGCCACTACAACTTTCTTAAAAGATATCGGCTTTTTCTAATATTTATTTTCAATGCTTATTTTCATTATTAATTAATTAAATCATAATAATTAAGCAATTAAGCATATAATTCACTTGATATTCACATAATTCATCTTTATTACTTCAAAATGAGTTACAAAGGTTGACCTAAACTACTACAACATTATTAATGATTTTAGCCCAGAAACACGGGCGTTACAATTCTCTCCCCCTTAGGATGATTCCGTCCCCGGAATCACACATCAGCAAACAAATGCGGGTAGCAACTCATCATGTCACTATCCGTTTCCCAGGTGAGATTTGGCCCATTCGTACGTTTCCATTGCACAAGCACTAAATCGACCATCTTACATCGCAACTTTTTAGTCTTACGGTCAAAGATTGCCTCTGGTTCTTCGATTAATCTCTTGCTTTCATCCAGCCTTAACTCAGATATTGGAATTATGTTGGGAACATCTCCCGTGAACTTCCTTAAATAACACACATGGAAAGTGTTATGAATACCATCTAGTTCTTCTGGTAGTTCTAGCTTGTAAGCTTGATTCCCAATCCTCTGAAGAACTTTAAATGGTCCAATAAACCTTGGAATCAACTTTCGTCTTTTACCAAATCTTATAAGTCCCTTCCACGGTGAGACTTTAAGCAAAACTGAATCACCAACTTCGAATGTTATCGGTTTTCTTTTTTTGTCAGCATAGCTCTTTTGATCATCCTGAGCTGCTAACATATTTTCCCTAATCACTTTTAACTTTTCAGCAGTCTGATGGACTATCTTAGGTCCCATAAACTTCTTTTCTCCAGCTTCAAGCCAACAAGACGACGTACGACACTTCTGTCCATATAAAGCGTGATAAGGTGCCATCTTTATGCTCGAGTGGAAACTATTGTTGTAGGAAAATTCTACTAAGGGTAAATGTTCATCCCAGTTACCTTGGAATTCCAGTGTACATGTTCTCAGCATATCTTCAAGCAGATGTTCGGTGTACCAGGCGAGAATTTAAGATAGGAAGCTTTATTTACGATAAACATATAAATCTCCTTATAACTCTGAAACATTTACATGCTAGTTCTAATATCGTAGTCATACGCTTAGAATCCTACACACATAAGGTTTCCAGATCTGGTCGACAACAAACCATGGATCCGAACAAATAATAACATTGATATAGCTATCATACAAAACATTTAGCACATAAAAGCATTTTAGGCATCATTCCTAAAATAAACGAGTGCTTCTATTAATTTAGGTGTACTACCTAACATATTCTAGACACACTTCTCAAGATCATTACTTAGCATTCAAAGTTTACGTCTAAAAATTTTCTACAAATTCCTAGTTCGCTTAAACTAATACTCTGATACCAACTGTGACATCCCCAATTTCACGGCCAGAAAATACCGATTTGTTTATGCTTTGTTTTTAAAATCAGAGGAATATTTTACAGAAAACAGTTCCGAAATTTGTTCCCAAAACAAAATATGATAAAAATTTGTCAAATCATTTCTTTAAAGAAATGTATTTTCGTTATATAACAAAATCTCGGGATGTCATGTTCAATACAGACCAAAAGAATAAACAGAACAAAAATAGACCTTACAACAGTTATTCATAACTACTGGTCTATAATCCAAAATCTCTCGTTATGTCAACCAATTTATGGTCTTGTACCATAACCTGTAATACAAAGAAAACTGAGAGGGTTAGGCTTGGGAGCCTGGTGAGCATATAGGGTTTTCAACCCACAATAATATAATTATTATATTTAATTATCAAACAATCAATCCAAATACCCACCCCCATTATCTCAATTTATTTCTTAAAGATTTATCCTAAGAACCGATTACCCTTCTCCCATGCATTCCTAAGGATTGCCTTAAGGTACCGGCACAAAGTCTAGTGTTGCCAAGGTTCTTAGATTACCTCTGGTGACCATGCAGTTCACAATAATTAATGAACACCTAGTTCAAGAACACCTAATGAACACTTAGTTCCAATATTACCTAATGAACACCTAGTTCATAAACACTTAATGAAGACTTAGTTCAAATATCCCTGATGAACACTAAGTTCAAATATCTAATGAACACTTAGTTCGAATATTCGTGGTGAACCCAATCACCTAAGGAACACTGAGTACGAAAGCTCTTAGTTCAAACAACGTGATAATAAAGTATATCTCAATCCTGCAAAACCACTAATATTATAAACACATATAAATCATATTTCTAAAACAATATATCACATCCCGTCGATCTCCACATACTGACCCTATACAATGATCTTACAAGATCTAGCCTAAGGAATCGATATGAACCACAAACTGACGAAGCTGCTTCGAAAATTCCATGGCAGCAAACGAGGATCAATAAAGACATCAAATGAGGGGAATATAATAAGTTTCACCATGAACCTTTGTTCATAAAATAAAGAACCACAAGACATGTTAAGTCAAGAGTAGTTATCTAGATAACAATGCCTAGGCGTGGTCTGACTATCATGAGGTATTATACCCCCATACTCTACCTATCCCAACATCGAACTTTTCCTAGCAGTGGCCTGAATATCATGAGGTATTTCACCCCTAGACGCACCCTATCCAACAATACTACAACTTAGTTAAGATTATTCATTCTAAATAATCTTCTATCAAAAAGTCATTTTTGACACTTAACGTCTCTAAATTGACTAGCCTGGATCTACGGGAGTTGCAATCGTCATTTTCCATTTTATCAAGATCATCTTTGGTAGGACGATTCATGGCAGGCTGACCTCCTCCCGGTCTAGCTTGAGTGCCATCATTCTGAACTGAAGTAAGAATATGGCATGGGGTCCTTCTTCTACAGATCTCCAAACATCTCCTCTAAGTCTTCGTAGATACCTCTCCATTCTTTTAGACCAGTGATGATATTCGTTTGCCACCAGTATCGAAGCTCTATTAGAACCTCCAGCACTGTTGGAAACATTTAGAGATAATTCTCGTGCCATATTTGCTTGTTTTAAAAAAAATGATTTTTTTTGTTTTTTTTTAAGAAATGAGCTCCATTGGTATATAAGGGCTTTTAAAATCAGAGTTTTTGTTTAAAAAGCAACCACTTTGGCTCTGATACCAATTGTTGAGAGAAAAACTTGAGTAACACACTTAAACAAACGTTAGAACAAGTAATAATGCGGAAAGGAGTATAACTCAGTGGATCATAAAGCTCAAGAATAATAATAAGCTAGAGTTAGATAGTTAGATAGTTAGGTGCGGAAATATAAGGGAATGTAAATGACAACAAGTATTATATCAAGAAGACACTATAAGCTGATTCTTAACAAGGATTGCAGACAATCCAAGTTAGGAAATGAGATCAAGGTTAGTGATTAAGTCAAGCTGACTTGCTTTGAATAGATAACGATCTTAATATTAGAATATGAAGATCTTTTAAGAAGAGAGAACGAGGGAGGGTGCGATAATTCAATATAGAGATAGAATGATCGATTGAGATGTATTTCATTTAGAATAAAAGAGCTCTACTTATAGAGACTTGAGGATTACAAGTTAAATCTATCTAGGAGTTGCCATGCAAGGCACACTGGACAAAGAAATGTAAAGACATAAAACAAATAAAACTAATCTAAGATAGATGACTTCAATTGCGAATGCAGTTGTTGGTTGCGGTGTTGAGCTTGACTGCGGATCTGGTTGGTAGCTTCGGATCTCTTTAAGTTTAAGAGGGTCACATTTATGTTTCAACACCTCCATCATTGTACCCTAAAACTGCCATCACATCATCTAACTCATGGACTGAAAACACATCCATGTCCACAAAATCAAAGTGATCCACAAGCCCATCTATGTTTGACCTTCCAGATACCGTATTTGTGAACGAACGCCATTGATTTATCTTGAGTGTGAAAAAGCTTGAAATAGAACCTGAGGTGTGCAACATTTAGGGTTGTTTTATTTTATATTTTATATTTTTTAATCTTTTAGTGTGTGTGTGTGTATATATATATATATATATATATATATATATATATATATATATATATCCTCCCTAATAAATGAAAATAATTTTTGCCACTTGTTACTCTCTCATTAACTTGGATACATGTCATTTTTTGGTATTTTTGAATAAATAATTTTTTTTTTCATTTTATTATTATTATTTTTTCTTAATTAACACATCATATTTACACATCAATTAATAATTGTCTTAATTGAAAATAATCAAAAATTACAATATTAGTACTCATATAATATTTAATATGTTTCATTTTAAAGTTAAATTTCAAATCTAAAATTTCAAATTTAAATAAATTTTTATTTAAACTTTCATATTTAATTTTTTGTTTTATCAAACCCGTATAACATACGGGTCTTATATATATATATATATATATATATATATATATATATATATATATATATATATATATATATAATCAGGTAAATGCCAATTTTGATGGGTCGGTTTGGTGGTTTCATGTGTAAGTCGGTTTCTTGGTTTGGATGTATCGGTTTATGGATAAAAACCGAAAACTACTAAAACCGATTTTTCGGTTTTTAAAAAATTTAAACCCTAATCATCGGTTTTGCTTTAGTTTTGGTATTTTTGGTTTCCATTTCTTCGGTTTTGATTGTTTTCTCGATTTCTTTATCCGGGTTTGCTCACCCCTATCTTTTAGGTGAAAGCATTCTGAAAAAAACTAACTATAAGATACATCGTAAAATATGCATTGATGGTGACATCCTTATAAGGTGCAACACCACCTAATCGGATGAGGGTTGTGAAGAGGATTCATGTCTAAGTTTTGAGGGTGATTTGTAGGAAAGAGCTAGGATAAGGAACGTCGTCGAACTGGGAAGAGGGAGCAGAGGGAGTGAGTGGGGTTGGGAAGACCAAATAATATAATATTTAATCGTATTTTAATAAAATAATAAATATTTGAAGAATATATCATTTATTTGAAAATATACTAAAACGTTATAAAACTCTCATATATTAATTATAAGTACAAAAAATTATTTTTAGAATAAAAGTATAAAAATCAACTAAACTCAACTAGCATCCCTGTAAATTACCCTATTTAAATTAAGTTTAATCTCATTTTCGTAGAGAGTGGGGTGGCCGGTGGGTGATAGTTGTACCCATTTTAAACAAGAAAAACAAGAAATTTAATATTTAGAAAAAAAAATCCCACATAATTTTGAATTTGTTAAAGATCCTTTTCACATTGGAATCCCTGTAAGTTGGACACCTAGAGTCCATTTTGGAAAGCTACCTTTATGCTATCAATATTATTATAATGTTTTGTTTTGTTTCCTTTCAATCTCTATTATTCTTTCGTATCATACGAACAACATTAAAATAATATGTTATATTGTTACACCTTTAAAATGATTCAGAATTCCATATAGAATTTTATTTATAAAAAATATTGTTTATATTTGGTACAAATATTTTTTACCACTAGATCTAACGAAATTGAAATAGAGTTACAAAATATGCTTGGGTATAAAGTTAAATAGATTACATGCATTTCTTGATTATGACTACAAAAAATTAAGTGGTTCAGTTTTGACTTTTGTATATGTTTTTAATCACGTTTTTATTTGGGTTATGTTTGATATTTTAGTTGAAAAGCTAGATGCAAACTAAAAGGCTAGTTGATAGCGAAACATTTAATCTACAACTATAAGCAAAATTTTGCTTATAGTAAGTTCTCTAAAATACTATACAACACATAATACATGCAAGCATACAAACATTAGCCCTTAGCTGAAGGGTGATCCGCCCTCTCCAACCTTCAGCTTAAAGTTGGGCCGATCCTGACATTCGACACAAATCGTACTCAACTCACCACAAGATATATATATATATATATATATATATATATATATATATATATATATATATATATATATATATATATATATATATATATATATATATAACGAGAGAGAGAGAGAGAGAGAGAGAGAGAGAGAGAGAGAGAGAGAGAGAGAGAGAGAGAGAGAGAGAGAGAGAGGGGTAGGTTTAAATGTGGATTAACAAATATTATGTGGATGTAGGGATTAATTTGGGTAAAGTATTTTTTAATTTTAATAAATAATTAATTAAATCATCTACCATTTAATTTAGGGAAATTACTTTATTTAAAACCCTACCGTCTCTTTTATCCACACCCACAAAAGCGCCTCCCACTTCCATCGAAGATGTCAAGGAGTGAATGGATTCAAAATTGAAAATCAGAATCAGGAACCAACCCTCCAGAGCTCGTTCAATTGATATGTGTTCGAAGGTTACAAGTCGTAGGGAACAACTTCAAAATCGAAATCAGAATCGGGAACCAATCCTCCAAGGCTCGTTCAATCGATGTGTGTCTCCAACAATGCTTCAGCCTCCATCAGAATCGTGAGTTCCTCCACGATTGTCGATGATATCGATTTCTTTCTTCTCAAAACATGAATTTACTTTCAGAAATTGATTTTTTTTTCCATCTCTGAAATCAATTTCTTTCTTCTCAAAAATTGATTTTTTGAAATCGATTTTCTTGCTTTTCTTCACATCTGTGAAATCCGTTTATTATTTGAAATCGACTTTTGTAAGTGATATCCTCTAATCGATTTGGAATGAGTCTGTAGGATATAAAACTGATACAAGCATTTGTATATTTCTTTTTTTAGTCCTAAGTTCTGAAGGGTTGATTTAGTATTCACAAATGAGAATTTAATAGTGATAGTCAATTCAAAATATCTACAAACAAGGTCGGTCCCTTATTCTCTACTTAAACTCTACAAGCATTTCTCTGTTTTTTTTAATCCTAAGTTTAATGTATGTGATTTAGTCTTTTTCTGTCTCTTTAATTTTTAAATATCTTGATTCCTTTTGCTTGAACATATTTGGTTTTAAGCACATCATAATACAATAGTCATGTTATTTGTATAATCTTATTCCCATGCTTATTTCTGTTTTTTTAATATAGAACTTTGTTTACTCGTTAGTTGAAGATTTAAAGTCAAAGGAAATAAATTCCCTTATAGGAAGAATGAGAATGAAGAATCTTTCATGAATGACTGTATTCTTATAGAATGAAGATTTTTTTCAAGAATGACTTACTATAAAGCTTGTATTCTTATAGAACGTGGCAAAAATTCAAAAAATGACATTGTATTTTTATAGAATGTAACAATAAAAACTATTTTTTGTTTATTTTTAGACCTTAGATTCTTCAATAATATTAATAATAGATGATTATTCTTCAAGAATGTTGTTATTTTTCAACTCATGGTTCAAAAATTTGTTAGTCTTCAAAATGTTCATTTAATCAAAATATGTATTTTGTCAGAATTTGTATTCAATCAAAATATGTATTCTATTAGAATTTGTATTTTAAACTCTTGGTCCACACTCATCACTACGTCCACACAATACTTTCCATCCACATTATAGTAGGATGGTGTTATGCTTTAGCGAGCTGTTAGACAGATAGACTAGTTAAGACAGTTACAGTTATATGTGTTGCTAGATTGTTGTTGAGTGCTTGTTATTGTGTGTGTCTGTGTGTTTGTATCTCTCTCTCTCTCTCTCTTTATATATATATATATATATATATATATAGAGAGAGAGAGAGAGGGAGAGAGAGAGACACACACACACACAAACACACAGACACACATAATAACAAGCACTCAACAACAATCTAGCAACACATGTAACTGTAACTGTCTAAACTAGTCTATCTGTCTAACAGCTCGCTAAAGCGTAACACCATCCTAACACACAAGGTACATACTGTAGTGTAATGTATAGTGGGAAAACTCACATCACATACAGAGCAAAGAATATTTATAGTGTGACGTAAATGTGAAGGTTAGTCTCACAAACCACCTAAACATTAATTAAAGGAAGACCTCAGTCAATAACTAAACCATAAAGTTTGATCCAAAGTCAAACTTAGTAAAAATTCAACATCTGGTCAAACAGGTGCCCCACGCCCACTACAGGACAAAACAGTGGAGCTATTTAGGCTAAAACGAACACGAATCGCAAAACCCTAAAAGCATGTTGCGCATGCGATTGACATGTCATGCTCAGGCCAACTTTTCAAGGTAAAATGACTTAATCGGTTAAGTCATAACTCCTTCCAAATATGACCTTTATCCAGCTATTTATGAATAATGTTTCCAACTTTATCTATTAAGACAACCCCAAACAATCAAGATCTAGACTTTATGTACTAAAATGACCTAAAAAGTCAACAACACTTGCATAACTTAAATTCAATGCATAAACCACCAGCTTTCCAAGTCTAAATGGTCCATAGAACAATCATAAGTGCTCAAAAGTTGTTGGTGTTGGGTCTTGATACAAAATATTAGTTCGTTTTTCACAGAAACCGACAACGGAAGACTTAAAAAATAACTAGTTTATTTTTAGTTTGTAACAAATCCAAACCATCAAGGATCCATTTATAGAGGTTAGAATGAAATAAAAACAACCAAAGAGTTTTTAGAATGATAACCTTTGAAGCCTTTAAACCCACTTGGTTTTGGGGTGTTGATGAAGATAGAAAAATCAAAGAGTATGATTTTCTATACAAGTATCCACCATCAAGAGTAAGACACTTAGAATGTTATTTCCTTCTTGTATAAAGTACTTCTTAAGCCTTTAAGTTCTTAACTAAAATAAACACTATAAGAGAAGCACTTTAAGCCACCAAAAGACTTGAATAATCTTCAAAAGAATGAGAGCTCCAAGACCTTTCATGCCCATGGTTTTGGAGAGAAAAGGAGGTGAAGAAGAAGTGCTAGTTTCTCATGCATAAGGCATTCTTTATATACTCAATGCAAGGTAAGGGCTTTACATTAAAATACTCTAAAGTATGTATAACATTTAGAAGCATGGGAGACAAAGCATGGACGTTGAAAAACAACCTCCATCAT